TGTCAATTAAAAAACTATTAATAATAATAAACAAAAGGCTTAACCAAGAAAGTGAAAACACCACTGTTAGAATGGCAGGAAACAATTGCAAATAAAATGTCTGCTAAGAGGGTAATGTCCAGAATAGATAAGAAACTACCGCAACTCAACAACAGTAGCAAAAACAACCACCAAAACCAAACAACCCAGTTAAAAGTAAGGAAGGGACTTGAATAGATACTTTCCAAAAATATATGTGAATAGCCAATAAGCACACGAAAAGATGTTCAACCTCGTTTACTCATTAAGGAAAGGGAAATCAAAATCATAAGATATCACCTCATATACAAAAAAAGAAAAAGAAAACAAGTGCTTTTGAAGACATAAAGAAATCAGAATTCTTGTACATCGCTAATGGGATGTAAAATACAACTATGACACGTGGTACCGTGGTTCCTCAAAAAATTAAATAATTATATACGGCCCAATAGCTCTATACCTAGGTATCTGCCCACAGAACTAAAAGCAGGGATTTGAACAGACATTTGCCTGCCTATTTTCATATGAGCATTGCTCACAAGAGCCCAAAGGCAGGAACAACTCAAAGCCCATCGAGAGGATGACTGAATTAGCAAAATTAGATGCATGCACACAGTGGCATAGCCACGCAGAAGATTATCGCAGACTAGAATGATCTTTAACATTAAAGGGATGAAATTCTGACATGTGGGACAAGGATGGGCCTTTGAAGACATGCTGAGTGAAGTCCACCCAAGGAAAAACACGATGTGGTGATTCCATGTGAATATGAAGATTATTGCAGGCAAACAGGACTAGAAAGGTGGTAACCTGGAGCTGCAGGATGCAGAATAGATTTAGAAAAAAAGTTTGGAAATAGATAATGGGGACAGTTACACACTAATAATGTGATTAGTGTCATTGAACTGTACACTCCAAAATGGCTAAAATGGTAGATCATATAATATATATATATATATATAACATATATATCATGCCAAAGAAATGTTAACAGAAAAGAGAATCTTGTGCAAGGTCACATTGTAAATACCAGTCTCAGAATAAGAAACTCACTTCAGTCAGTCCTTTAAGCCATAGATTTTACATCTGTAGATCAAACAAACTATGGATCAAAACTATTCAGTTAAAAACAATGTGCACGATAAAAACCATACAGTCTTCTTTCCTGTCATTTTTCCTTACTTAATATAATACAATTCATATCTATGCAGCATTTGTATCTACATTAGAAATAATCTAAGGGATTTAAGTGTATGGGAGCTTGTGCACAACTAAATGCAAATACTGTGCCATTTTCAATAGGGGATTCAGAACATCCACAGATTTGGGTGTCTGTGGGGCTCCTGGACAGACAACAGACAGAAGATTTCCCTGGGTTCCCCTGTGTGGTACCTTTGATCCTTGCACAGGCATCTTCCCACCAGAGTTGACCCTTCTCGCCCCTCTGACTACCATAGTCCTTAAGAAACCAGGAAGGAGGTGAATCACAGGCAGTTGGAGGAGAAGGCTCAGAGATGGTAGATTGTGTGGGGGAGAAGCACAGACTCCCACCTGGGATCTAAGTGTAGTGTTTGCTGATAGACAGGCCCAAGACCCACAGGCAGAGACCCCATCGCCCCTTGTGGTCCTTACTGACTCCCTGCATACTTTGCAACCGTGAGGTGCTGAGTCCCTCCAGCTGCACTGACCTCCACTGCAGGAGGAATGTGTCCTCCAAGGCTTGGCTTTGCAGGGCTGTCCTACAAGTGCGTCATGATGAGACTTCCCATTGTGCTTAAACCCTGAGAAAGCCCGCAGCCTGTCCTGAGGACTTGATGTGTGAACAGAAATCACACACAGGGGACCCGGAGCAGCAGGCCTGGCCCTCAGATCAGGGGTCAGGCAGGGCCACGAGGCTGGCCATTCTTCTCAGGAATTTGATGGTGACTGATATGACAGTGTAAAAGACAAAGCATGAGTCCAAGGAATGATCCCGAAGAGTGAAGGCCACAGACAGAACTGTGTTCTTATCCTTGTGTTTTAATGTCCTTTCTCAAACAGATGAGGATCATGTGGAGATCTTAAATGAAATGCAGGAGGATGCCTTCAAATGCAGGTCTACTTGGAAGAAGACAGGAGACAGAAGATGCTGTAACTCTGGCCTGGGAGCCAGGTGTGGTTGACAGATCTGGGATAGGAATTTCTGTTGATAACTCTATTCCATGTGGGAAAACTGTTATCAATACCCAGGGTCTAAAACCAATTCCTGAAAGGGGTATTTCTCTAGGGAATGTGACAAGGCCATCAGCTGAGCAGAGTACTGCACGGTCACATGATGATCAAAGTAGATGCTAAAGTTGATTTGAAATCAGTGACTCCCTGAGCAGAGACCTGTGAGTCCTGTTGGGGACAGAACTGCTCAGAGGGTGAGTGTGAGGTTTCTGTGTTATATAAGAGGAGAAAGTAGGCATGATGGAGCACTCCTCTAATCCCTGCACTCTGGAGGTAGAGGCAAAAGGATCTATGTAAGTTGGAGACCAACTTGGTCTGCAATAGTGAGTTCCAAACCAAGCAGGGCTACATAGTGAGACCTTGTCACCCCCCAAAAATGGGGGGGACAATCATAGATTTGTAGCAATGGTAGACATCATGTGAGTACCTTTAAAAGAAATCTCTGCCCCCAATTCTATAACAAAGTGGGAAGGAGCCAGCGCAGGTATGAGATGCTCTCTGCCTTTCTTTGGACCCCAGGAACCATAAAGTGAGTTTTATCAAATCCTTCCAAATTAGGCATTCTAACTGACTTCATCAAGACTGGAGTATGTCACTGTGTGAGAGGACACAGCTTGTGACCATGTGTGACACGGGTGGGTGTAGAAGGAGCATTAGCCCATTAGGTATCTGTGGAGCAACTGGAGGAATGGGGGCCACAGTGGGAGGAGGATGGAGTCATAAGTGAGAAGGGGAAGGAGGCAGGGGTTTGGGGGCTGGTAGCACTGTCCTTCCTTTAGCCCCTGGGAATTCAGGATAAAGAGGAGGAGGAGACACTTCGCCCAGCCTCTGGACTTACTCCACGTGTCAGCACTGCTGAAGTAAAGAGCCCTGGACACAGACACAGTGGGGGACACTGGCACATTGTGGATCCTCAGAGGAGTAACTGTTTCTGGTCTCTAGAACAAGACAGGCAGCCATTCACGTGGGAAGAGAGGGGAACAGCAAGCTGGGCAGGGCAGGGGCAGTCCTACCAGGAATGAAGGGACAGGAGATCAAAGGCGGGGAAGGACCAAGAAAGGCCACAAACGCCCATGACATTAACATTGAGGCTAAAATGACTTCCAAAACCCCAGGGAGTCACCCACATGGCTGACTCAGAACTAAACCAGTGTCACTGTGACCACACCTGCACATCCCAGCAGCCCCAGGGTCATCATGACTGTGCTTCCTCAGGTGGCTATGAGCAGGTGGTGGAAGGATTGATCAAGAATCTCAGCTTCCAGGACGGACAGGGAGCAGGTGAGGCCAGACCTCCTGGGACTCTGCACATAAGTCCCAATACCTGGCTCTCCATCGACCATTCATTCATTGTCCACTCTATCATTCATTCATCCATCTTCTACTCTATTATTCATTCATTCATTCCTTTCTTCCTCACGAAAAAATATTGGAAGTTGGCTACATGTTATTCCCTATGCCAACTGCAAGGTCTAATTAGAGACAGCACAGTCCTCTCCTTTACCCTCCAGTACAGTGACAGCAGCCCACCAGGAAACCTGCGACTTCCAGTCCAGTAAGTAGGGGTGTGGGTTGGGAAGACCTGGAATTCTGTTTAAACAGGTGATTTAGTTCTAGAGTCAGTTGTTAGGGTAATTATTAATTTGCTTTCACTTTCTGGACCAGAGACCCCGTCTGAGCTGCCAATGCCTAAGATTAAAGTATTAGAACCCACAACTGTTGTCTAGTCCATAGATACCTAATAAGGCCTCCAGGGTGGAGACGTTGGGGCTATGGTTGTAGGCAGACATTTTGGCTCTGGATCTGCCACCGACAGCCTGTGTGACCCTGATTCAGACACGGTACTTCCTGTGTCTCAGTTTCCCTA